GTGCACCTTTGAGTGAGTGTTTGTGAGCATGTATCTGTCCATCTGGATGTGTTGAGCTAACGCATTTGGCTCTTCCCTTTGTAGATGCAACAACCGTACCCAGTGTGCAGTGGTGGCTGGGCCTGACGTCTTCCCTGACCCCTGCCCCGGCACATACAAATACTTGGAGGTCCAATATGAATGTGTCCCATACAGTAAGTACCCTTTTTTTTTTTTTTTTTACAGAATTTATATATTTTTTTTTACATCTTATCTCTTTAATTGCACTGTTACAAATAATATATTTTAGTATGCTGCATCTTTTGTTCAGTAACATTATTCATTCACATGTTGTGAATCTCAGGGAAAGGTGTCTGAAATATTTCAGTCTTTAAATTAAATTTTAAGATTTCATTACATATTTGTTGATACATTTGTGAAAGATTAGTGATTGTGAAAAGCCTGCAGTGTTTCATACAGACTTATCAACAAAAACATGCAGTTTGAATCCAAAATGAACATCAGTAATTTGAGTTCAAGTAAATATTGGAAACTATGATGACACTCACTGGGAAAGTCCGAGGGAGGACGGATGAGAAAGGGTTGGGGTTAGGATGGGCTCCAGTGATGACAGATGGTGATATGACCTTTGACCATGTGAAAACAGACTCGGAGGTCGTATGTACTGTAGTGAAACATTCATGGCTGCAAAGATATCCTGTGAGATAGATAAATGTGATTTTTTGTTTAGTTTTCCCTAAAATCTAGGTTACAGCTCACTGCATAGTAAATGCATAAGGGTTCAGGGTGGAGACTTTAGTGGATTGAAGACATCTATTTGTCCTTGATATTTATTTCATACTACATTCCAGTTTAAATGCAACTGCCTTGTCTGTTTTATGAAAGAGGATAAATCTAAAGTGATTCTCTCAGTTACTTTTCCATCACAAAAGGCATTCCAGTTTAATTTATTCACATGGCAGTTATATTTGATTTTGGCCACATGATGTGGTCGAATACCAGAAGAAAACTTCAAATTGTTATGTGAAAAATAAAACAAAAAAAACAATTCGAAATACCCACATTATAGCACATTTAAAATTCAATGACAGACAACGTATTACTCAATAAATAAAAAAAAATAAAAGAGTACAGGCACTGAACAGAATAGAAAAAATACAACTTTCTTACTTACGTTTGTGGCAGATTTCAAATGCAACTTTCAGATGAAAGTAGGCAATAATCAGTTTTTGTGATAAGCATACTGTTGAACTGAATATGTCATACTACTCCATATTGTTTGATTGATGGTTTCCTTTGTAAAGCTCTGATAAATGTAGATTCCAAAAGCAATGTGGGTGTTGTGAAATGAAAATGTGTCCATTTTCGTACACATGAAGTGCTGTATATCTTATTGTTGACATGTTTTCCTGCTGCAAATATCTCTGCGGTGGAAGTCATAAAAGAAAGGAGGACGCACATAGTTGGAGTTTAGATAAGATGTAGTTCGGATTTATTTAAAGCCAAAAAAGTCCATCTCCAAATTCCATTTACTGTTGTCTGTAATCTTGTTTTTGCCAAAAAAAAAAAAAAAAGTGGTTTGAGCCTTTAAATAAGTAAAGTGAAATGAGGAAACTGCTCAAGTTACTGACAGTTCTTTTTAAGAACTGTCAATAACGGTCTTGGTTTTGTTTTGTTTTGTTCGATTTATTTTGTTTTGTAGTAGACATACAACATTAATGTGTGTGTTGAACATCCTCATTATTATGTGTGTCTGCTGTTTTTAAGTTTACTTGTTTTCCTACTAGTGTGGGGGCCGGGCCCAGTGTCCACTTCTTTATGATAATTCATGTCATGGCACATTATAAAAGGTAATTGTATTCGTCACTAATACAAGCATTTTATATCCCTGTAAAAATCGGTAAATTGGCTTCTTCTTAAGCAGAATTAGTTTTGTGTGTATTAGTAACTTTTGAGTCAGAATATTCAACTTTTTTCATTGTCCTGTGCGTGTCAGTCTGTCACACAGATTATTGATTGGAACCAATATTTTGAAACTTAAGTTTTAATGCTTATTTCCTCTAAAGTGCTGCAGAAATCTTTGTCTAACATGGTTTGAGTGTAAAGGCTTGGCACCGCGGCCCATACAGACGGCCAAGGTGATCTCTCACACTGAAGCATTCAATTATGTCTGGGTAAACGGCTCTTGCCTGGCGTCTAGAATGACCAGCAGATTAAATAATAGGACTATCAGAGCCCTCTCTGGAGCAGATGGAAACACAACCTGATACCTGCTTAATGCCCCACCGAGTACGCGCACACACACTCACAAAACACACACTCATGCGTACATAAAAATGGTGTGTGTGTCAGTGTGTGTTTTCACTCTTGTCTCATCCATTCATTTGAAACTCGTCTGCTTGTTCTGTCTTTATCATTGTTATAACTGCACGTTGGCTTGAAAATACCGCGCTCCTTATTTCGCAGATTAATCACTGTAAAGATCAGTAGCTGAGGAACAACTGAGTGCAAAGGGAGATGAGTTGCGTGCTGATCTGATAAACAATGGGTCCAGCAGGGTAACGTTTCCCCCCCGCAAAAATAGACAAAGTCTGAAACCAAAGTCATTAGAGAGCTCAGCTAACAGAAGGAGGGATATAGAGAGGGAGAGATGAAGTATTAAAGAAAAAGATAGAGGAGGAGGAGGAGGAGAGATATGGAGCATTGTAGAGAGACATAGAGAGAGAGCCTTTGACAGTACATTAGCAGTTTCCGTGTACTGACTAAGTGTTCAGGCTGGATCAGGTAGCGCTCTGATACACTACCTGGCTCCTGTGGGTGTGTTTAGCCATGAGAAATGTTGCACAACGTTGCAGAGAAAAATATGTTGTATGAAGGTGAAACAAACCCTAGGATACCATGACTCCACGATTTTACATTTTGTCTGAGAATTCCTCAAGCTTTACATGGCAAGAGTCTTATATCGCGTCCTTCAAATATTTATGAAATCAATTTTCTTCGAAAGGCGTAATAATGCCTGAACCTTGGACAAAGATATTCCTGTTCGCTGACATTCAGGCCGGAGATCCAGCCGTCTACGATCAAGCTGCCGTGCTTGACATAGCAAATCAATGCTGTCAGCTGCGTTGTTGTGAAAGATACGTTTTGTAAGACATTAAGCGGTGATGTATCTCGAAAATGTTGCCATAAATCAAGATGGATCAATAAAGCAGCCTTGTTTTCGGAAATATATGACAGTGTACTCAAACTGTCGCATTCTTAAAACACTCAGAAGCTGCAACTTTAACAAATCCGCATATTTACATTCGAAAGGCAGGGTTGGTTTTAGTGCACTCAAATGGCTATAACATCAAGGGACATCTGTAACTCAAGGTTGTCTCTCGACATTAAGCACACTGCTGGTTGCTGAGTGTAAACACCTGACCCCTAGCGATCACCTCTGAGACCAGGTGTCGCTAATCAGAAACTGATTGCACGGAAAGAAAATGAGCTGGGCCCCGAAGAGACACCACTTCATATCGTGGATGTGCTTCTCCTGAGCGCTGATGTTGGAGTAGAGCTGTTATGTCTCCCACTACATAGATATTGTAAACAAATCTCAAAGTGGGTTGTAAAACAGGTAATTAAATTATGTTCGGTTCAGTTTTCAGGGAAATTTTGCCCCTCCATCGCCCCTCCTTTTTTTTTTCTTGAGGATTTTTGGCTTGCTCTACCTTCACAGCTCTTCATCTCTCCTCCCTCCACTGCAGGTTTTTGGCTGTTTTCCAAAGCTAAAAATCAAGTGCTCTCTTGATTTCTCTCTCTGGCTCTCTGTGGTACAAGTGTGTGGCAGTTATGTGCCAAACTAGCCAGCTAGCTTTGGCAGTAATTAGCCACCTGTGTATACTTGCTCATAGCACTGCAGGCAGACTATAAATATCCATACATTAGCACACTACTGTACAAATTGCTTCTCCAAGGCAGGCCTCACACACGGATACATTTAATCTCTGCAAAATCGCTATGTTGCAGAAAAAGATGTATGATGATGTGTATTGTTTCATTCATGGTCATCCATTAAAAAAAAAATCCGTGAACACTTGGGATTATGTCTATCTATTTCCTCATCTTCATGCAGTAGACCCTGGCTCTCCAACTGCCGCTATGAAGCAATTAGCCTACTACCACATTTAGTGTATTAATCAGAAAAGCCAGTGATATGTTATGCAACACCCATGCAGTCTATTTTAGACAATATAACTTGGCTCAGTAGGAAAGCTAATTAAAAGATAAAATCACCTTCTTGTTTGTCCAATTAAAGACTTCTGTCAGATTGGACCCTTGGAATAACTTCATCATGATAACATGAGAAGAGCTGTAGCCTATGTGTGTGAGCATGTGTGCGTGTGTGTTGTCGTGGAAACAATTGCGTGCATGTCTCTGTATGCGCATGTACAGTGTTCTGTATGTGTGTGTTTGGGTGTACACATATGCAGGCGATTTTGTGTTTTCCAGAGAGAGCGAGGGAAGATGGAAAGGAACCAAAGAGACAGACGGAGAGAGAGACAGAGTGAAGGAGCGAGAGCAAACGATAGCTGAAACAGAGATAGAGAGAAATAGGTTAGACGAGGCCAGCAGACGAGGAACAGAAAGAACGAATTAACTGATAAAAGACACAGTGTGAGAGGTGGACAGGGTTTCGGTTAGGGGGGGAAGTGGTGGAAATACAGGGGACGTAACGGAGAGGATGAACGGGGAGAAAGGCACAGCATGAAATGACGCGAGAGAATGGCAGGTGAGAGATGAGAGGACAGAGAGGAAGAATAGAATAATGGAGAGAGGAAGTAGAAAACGTCTGTGTCCACAAATGACCTTGGGCTTTAGCCGGCTGAGCTGATTGGAGATCAGAGATAATAGTGGTAAGGCTGCTGTCGCCACTCGTCTGCAGGAGCACGCACGCGCCCCCACGCATACACAGATATTACACACACCCATGAGCACACACACACACACACACACACGCACACTGTCTTTCCTCCTAGACGAATACCTCCTTAATAAACCATATGCTTTCAATAAAAATGCTAATTATCTTTACACTGCAGCACAGTTAGGTTAACACTGCTTATATGTGTGTGTGTGTGTGTGTGTGTGTGTGTGAAATAGAAATGGTAAGACAGAGGGGAAAAGATAGAGAATGCATCCAAGGTACAGTGTCAGACCTGTTCATGTGATTAAAGACATTTTGAAAAATTGAAAAGATAATAACGCAGATATTAATGAATATTTAGATGATTTTTTAATGAATGTGAAACTAGACAGGCGATACGTTCTCGCATAGCAGAGCATTGCTGTTATTGTATTACTGTTCTGCTATTGTTTTCTAATATTCAATATTCAAAGCCTTGCTAGGAATAAATGAGCTGTGTTTTTCTGTAGCTGCAGAACTAACTAACTTCAGTAGTGCTGTCTAAGTGGTTTTGAAAATGATCAGTCAAAAATACCTAATAGATAAAAACACGTTACACCTTTGCAGAATTCAATTATGAGTTACATTGAGATAAAGATTGAGAGAAGATGCTTTCTTGTTGATGTTTTCTTGGAAACGCAGACGTTTTCTGGCAAGCTGTCGTGGTCCATGTTTCCCTCATTTTTCTCATAGCCCCCTCGATGCTGAATTAACAGTAGCACAAAAGACTTCTCATCTCATGCATCGTCTTACATGCTCGAGCTAACCTTGATAAAATGTTTCGACAAATGTTTCACCAACTTGTATTCACTTTGTTAAATCTGCGCTGAAGGATGAATGACTGTGATGCGTGAAAAACATTCATTTCTTACTCTTGTCACGGAGATTAAAAACAGAGATGCCTTCGAAAAAATTATATTGCAACAAGGTCACCAGCAGAGTAATCCGCTAATCTAGTGAAACAACAAGCAGCAATACAAATTGAATGACATTTGTTTGACATTTTGTGTGCCATTTGGTATACTTGTTGCTGCCACACTTTTTCATTTGAAATCTATTAGCTGCTGGCAACCTTGAACTCTGCATGTTTTCCTTTGTGTCTGTGAGGCTGTATAAGAGACTCAAGTGATGTGAAGTGATTGTTGTTTGGTGTCATTAATCCCCATCTCTTCAACCACAATTGTGTCTTTTTGTATTGTTTAACTATGTGTGTGTGTGTGTGTGTGCAAGCATGTGTGTGCGTTTCTTACATCAATATCTGTCGTTCCATCGCACACAAACACACACACACCACCCTGCACAGACACACTATCTGCTTTCTTTTCCAGCTTTTCACACAGGGGAACCGCTTCCTTGTGGTGAACCATTTTATATCTTCTCTCGTAATGGCACACTCACACACAAACGCACGCACACACACACACTTGTTTTAGGTTTAATACGATCTCCTTTCAGAGATTGCTTATTTATCGTGAGTTTTGCTAAGCCGCAGTAGTTACCATGCATTTTTCATGAGCCTACGATTTAATGTTTTTTTGTGTGTGGGCGTACATGTGTGTGTTTCTGTGTGTCGCATGTGTTTGTGTATGTCTTGTGGTTAGTGATGAGTTTTGGCTTTAACGTGTTAAAGAATTTATGCATGCACTTGAGCTATATATAAACATGTGCCATCAGGAAGTCCTTCCAAATGTTTTTCCTTTGAGGACTCAGCCTCTCTCCTCTTCTCTCCTCTTCTCCTCCATTCCTCCTCCTCTCCTCTCCTCGTTTCTTTTCTCCAGGGACCAGTTCCATTGAGCAGGTCTCTAACAGTCTTGAAAGACACAAGGGCACTGCCTGCAGGATTAGGTTTCTGCCATGTTCACATTCCACTCGGTCCCCCTGGGAGAAAGGTGGAATGGAATTCATATGTTTAAGAGGTTTTGAGCAAGTGCACACATTTCATTGCGGGGCGACATGAACAACCCTCCCTCGAAGCTCTAAAGATAAAGCTTTGAATATAATAGACAGGGAATTGGTGTTGGGGTTGAAGCAAACTGGTGCATTCAGTATGCTCCCACCTCCACACACCGATGATTGCACACTCATACACAGAGTCACACAGAGTAGGTGACATACACAAAGCATTTGCTCACCCACTGTGCATCAGAAAGCATTTTAATGTAGCAGTTTTGGCTGGTCCACTGAAATGTTATCCCAGTAATCAAATCAATTTTCTGGTTTTCATTGCTCTGTTGCTATTAGCATACATTATAGAGCTCATTCTCTCAGGTCATTTTCTATTGCTGTATTTTGTCCTGCGGGACGGAACCACAAAGGATGGACTATGAATTTGTGTTCGTGTTTTTCCATGTTGTGTCATGTTCTTTTGTGTTTCTCAGTATCTCTCTCTTAGTATCCCTCTCCCCCTCTGTGTCTGCATGGCACATGTGTGTCTGTACCTCCATATGTGTGTGCGTGTGTGTGACATATGTGAGATGCATTACTGTCAGATAGCTTCCCCGTTGCAATGCAGTCTCCTCAGACGCTTACGTAATGTTATTACCAATCACACATGGAGAGCATCCTGGCACTCTCACAAGGTTAGGATGAAATATGAGAACGATTATGGAGATCTGAGATTGTATTA